CCCTCAACCTTTGAGCAACTGCTTGTTGAAGAGCTCTAAGATTGGCAAAAGTATACTGTTTTACTCCATGATGAAGTTAAGATAAAGAATTATCTGGTTTACTGCAAGAATACTGGTGAGCTAATTGGTTTTGCAAATTTGGGTGAAATTAACAACTTGTTAGTGGAGTTTGAGAAGCAGTGCCAAGATGAGATGAGCACAGAGCCTGATATTGCATCCTACATGCTTGTGTTCATGGTTCATGGAGTGACAACTACACTAGAGTATCCAGTAGCCCATTTTCCTTGTAACAGTTGTATCACAGCAGATTTTTTCCCCCTCTTGTCTGGGACGCCATAAGGCATTCGGAAACAGTTGGATTCAAAGTTGCAGCCAGCACATGTGATGGAGCTTCTTCAAACAGAAAGTTCATTAAGATGCATGCACCAAAAAAAGGCATAGCTATCCACAAAACGAAGAACATCTATAGCCCTGATGAAAGAGATCTATACTTCTTTTCTGATGTACCACATCTGATGAAGACAGTGAGAAACAATTGGGAGAATAGTGGGTGGAACAAGAAGTCACAAGAGCTATGGGTATGATAATGATTTTAAAGATAAAAAAGGAACTGTATTTAATTAATTTAAGATTCAAATTTGAAAACTGATTGAAGACATTCATTCAATAAAAATAACCTCAATTTAAATCTGTTTTTAGAATGATGGATACTGCATTTCCTGGATCCATATAGTTAATCTTTATAAAGATGACCTAAAGCGTTGTGGTTTAAAATTGGTATCAAAGCTTAAATATGACCACATTTATCTTACATCCTACTCGAGAATGAAAGTGTGTTTAGCTGCTCAGGTACTAGCTGTAACACAAGGGGTGCAATAGTGCATGTGCATCAAGGAAATACTTGAGGAACTTAATACTTTTGGTGTGGCTTTTTATAGGTACTTAGCTCTTCAGTGGCACATGCACTCGATGCTTTTTACAATGAAACTGTAAAGGGCACTGCGCGTTTTGTTCTAATGTTCGACAAGTTCTTTAATTGTTTGAACAGCCGATCACTGACTGAGGCTGCCCGACGGCGAAAACCAGATGTGGCTCCATACAGGAGTACAAATGATCCCTGATTGAAAGTATGTATATAATTTGTGGTAGTACATTCTCTAGTTTTACACAGTAATTATAATACATATACACTGGCGGTCAAAAAGAACTGCTCAAATCTTGCTATTGTCGTATGTAACAGGAATCGTAACAATCAATTTTTATTTGTACACTAGCGGTCAAAAAGAACTGTTTAGATAAAAATCCATAAAAAAGAAGCGAATATAGAAGAGAGCTTCATAGGCATTTTTATAATTCTCTTATTCCAAACAATATTTCAACAATGTAATGCAACCTGCCACACTTCCAAAAATGGTCAAAAATGGTTTCAGAAAGAGGGAATGACAGAAATGGATTGGCCTGCACAGTCAAAAGACCTTAACCCTATTGAAAATCTGTGGGACAATGTCAAGGGGATAGTGCAAGAAAGGAAGTCATTCATAAAGCGTCCATGATTTATGCGTTGCTGTAAAGACTGCCCATAGGAATGAATTTCTTTTGACTGTGAAGATTACCACCTTAACAGAAAGTATGCTACGCCGGTATAAGGCCGTCATCAATTATAAAGCCAAAGGAGGGTCAACAAAATATTAATATTTCATATAGTTTAGCATGTAATCTAGTCTATATTTACTGGTATATATTGTTAAAGGGACATTTACGTTCATTTGACAGCATTTTAACTTGTTTTGAGCAGTTCTTTTTGACCGCCAGTGTACATTCCACTCAACTTTGCAGTGGCTAGAAGAAGACTTTGTGGGATACCTGGACAAGTGATCCATGTTTGTTGACTCCATCCCTGGTCTTGATCCAACCCAGAAGACTAGGAAGAAACTGAGCCATCAAACTATTGAGGGGGTTACACATGACTGGTATGGTACAGCTTATTGCACCAAATTTCTACAAAGATCTTTTGGCGTTTATAAATATTAAATGTGTTGCGCTGAGTATTGACAGTTCCATTACATAAACATGTGCTGGTTTTTGGGCATCCCCAAGAGTACCCTAAAATTGACACGTTATTATCCATTATGGTCTCTAATTATCCTACTTGCTCTACTGACAAATTCAGATTATCCAAAACCAGTAGGGTAAAGGGCTACAGTATAAGAATATGATGAATTGCATCATAGCATATACAATGCAGACGACATGGCGGCAGACATGACAGATGTCTTCTGGATTGTCTATGATTGCATGAATTTTTGAAGTAGATTTTTTAGAAGAGAACTCGGATAGTGAAGGAGAAAGTAAGGAAGAAGAGGTTGACAAGGAAGGTAAGTTTCCACTAGTGTTTAAAACACGTATACTTGTAGTGTACTCAGTGGTGTAGCCAGCCTGGGGATTTATGCAAATTTTATGTTATTACCGTCATTCATTTCCTTAGAGATTCATTGTTTTCACTGTCAATGAACACTAAAATATTGGCATAGCATGAACTAAATTGTCGGGCTGGCTACGCAACTGGAATTAGGGCCTGTTATAAAGTTGTACTAAAGGCTAATATTAAAGGCAAATAGTAGGTAAGATTAAAGGCTTCTTTTATTATATAATATTTTCTTTTATATAATATTATTAGAAGTACAACTTTAACACAAGGTTGTGTTTACAATATTTATGCACCATATATCTGGATGATCTATGCTTTGACACACATGCCATAGAGATACTGATTTCTCTTTTTTTTCTGTTCTCATTTATACAGAGATTCCAACTGCAAGCAAATGCATGACCAAAGCCAACCTCTACGAAGATAGTGAAAGGCTATTTGTGGATACACTCAAGGAAATGATTTCTGATCCCTTCAACAAAATCACACATTCTGAGCATGCTTCAATTTTACTTTCCTGCGCCCAAAGTGTCCTACAAAAAATCATGGGCGTACCAGGCGGGGGGGCAGGGGTTGGGGCGGTAGCCCCCCCTTTTTGTTGGGCAAAGATGGGCAGTTGGGCAATATTGGTTTTACAGTCGGGTAAATGGTTGTCGTACGTTTGTGTGATTAAACTTAAAGGTGTATTATAAAAATAAAACAGGAGCATTCTTCTGAATATTGACAATATTGCTATTTGTTAGTTCTTTGTGTTTTGTTTGCGTTTTTCCTGCTCGGAAGGAAAATGTCTGGGATATTTTATACACTTTCTCATATTTTACTTCCTGTCTGGAAAAACGCACGTGAAACAAGACGATTGCCGGACGAAATTCAAATTAGTACATCGATTGTCCTTGGCATTTTACATTTTAAATTTATTTTGAATATCGAGTTTTGCGAATTATTATTAAATTATCCAGTTTGGAATTCAAAAGCAAAAACATAATCACAACCGTATAGGTAGGTAAGTCGAACGTAGGCAAATAGTAAAATAGATTATAGATATGAATATGAACAGTAGGATTATATTTATATACATGCTAAAACATATAAATTGAGTGGCATTGTTGTGTACATGTGTAATTGTACATTTGTGCGTTATGAATTCCTAGACTTGGGCTAATACAATTATATAAACCGTGAAGATCACGAATTTTCATTATATCCGAATTTGCACCGTAATATTTATGTCTACTTTAGCTCGATATGACTCAATCACTCAATAATGTTAACTATGTTAGCATACATGCCAGCCTTGCCAGGATAGAAAATCTAAAGACACAGAGTATGTCTTTGTTTTATTTAAGGTTACGGATTGACCGACCCGGTACGTCGTCGTTAATCTAAACTTTACTAACTTTATGCACTATGGGCACTATGGATTAGAAGTAGAATAGCTACCATTTTCCATGCTTTACATTCCAGGATCCTCAGATTTTAACAAGTTTCAGTCACCGCTTTAACGAATTAAACGTCTAGTTATGTAACTGTCTTAATTTAATATGTCATCTACACCTTGTACTCGTAAACGGCGTTATCGTCAGTATTGGATAAAATGCAATGAGTGCCAGAGCGAAATGAACACAGACTACCGAGATATTCATACGAAAAATGCACACAACGGCAAGAAAATCAAGTACAGTCCAGTGGTAGAACCTTCGCAAATTCAGTTATCAAGTTTTTTCACAAGAACAGGCACATCAGCTAATACGGGACAATCTTTAGCAACGATGACCAGAAGCGGGGAAGTGATGTCAGCGAGGATACTGTTGAGGAAGAAGACAGTAAAAGTTTTTCCAAAGACTGTACCGCCTTACCAGGGAAGTCTATCGAGAGTCACTTTTCATCCCGCCAAAGTGTAATTCACAAGCCAGTCACAGAGTGTAGAGCCAAATCCAATACAAGCAGTGTAAGTATAGACCAGGATCAAGCAGGAGAACAGGATGTATTAGCAACAGCAACGGAATGGCAATCCTGCTCAATGGTCTCCGCCAATCCTGACATTGAATATTTTATGTTTGAGAGTGACATTACTGAAAGGCCACTTGTGTCTAACATTGATACATCGTCAGCAGCTACCTCTACAGCTACTCTCACAGTTGCCTCCACAGCTACGTCCACAGCTACCTCCATAGCTACGTCCACAGCTACCTCCATAGATACGTCCACAGCTACCTCCATAGCTACGTCCACAGCTACCTCCATAGCTACGTCCACAGCTACCTTCATAGCTACGTCCACAGCTACCTCCATAGCTACCTCCATAGATACGTCCACAGCTACTTTCGGAGCGCCAAATCATCCAATTCAATCAAAATATCCAACGAGAAAGTTTGGAAATGAAACTTTCACACGAAAATTCAACACGGAATGGTACAAGAAATATTCATGGATAAGCTATGAGACTAAAGAAGACAAGTGTGTATGTTTTCCTTGCAGAGAGTTTGAAAAGGACGACTCGTTTGTGTTTAACAATTGGAAGAAGCCAGAGAAGCTATCTAAGCATGGAAAATCTCAGAAGCATATTACGTCAATGACCAAGTGGGCATTGGCTAAGGCCAACCACATGATGAACACATCCGTTCTAAAGCAAATGGACAATGCTCATAAGCAATATGTTTTCAGCAACCGACAATACCTCCAAGTAATAATCGAGTGTCTGATGTATAATGCTCAGCAAAATGTTGCTATAAGAGGACCTGAGGAAGATAGAAAACGTATTTGGGAGGTCTCTGATGTTAACAGAGGGAATCTCCTTGAGCTGCTTCATTTTAGATGTAAGGATTTGCCATGGCTAAAAACGAAGCTCGAAACTCAACATAAAGAGCATATCCAGTGGACATCGCCAAAAATACAGAACGAGCTCATTGAAATTGTGTCGAGCTTGGTGCTACAGAGGATCGCACGTGATGTCAAAAGTAGTGGCCATTACAGTGTCATTGTTGATGAGACGTCAGACATAAGCAGAGCGGAGCAAGTATCTCTTTGTCTTCGATATGTCGTCGAAGGAGAAACACGAGAGACATTTGCCAGATTTTTTGCGACTGAGTCAACCGAAGGTGAGGTCCTCTATGAGCTGGTGAAGAAAACAATCACAAATCTTAACTTGGTGTTAAGCGATATTGTTGGAGAATGCTTTGATGGTGCGGCGAATATGAGTGGATGTCATAAGGGCGTAGCGTCGCGAATGAAAGAATGTTCTCCGCTTGCTCTATATGTCCATTGCTATGCTCACCGCCTTAACCTCGCTCTTCAGAATACAATGACCAGTATTGAGCCAATTCGTAACGCTCTTGGAACAATGCAGAGTCTGTATAATTTTATCGAAGCAAGCCCAAAGCGCCACAGTATATTCCAGAATATCCAAGTAGAAGACGAACATTCGGAACTAACCCTCAAATCCATGAGTGTGACCAGGTGGTCGTGTCGCTGGCAGGCTGTTAAGGCAGTGTTTGAGAAAATGCCAAGTATTATTAGAGTATTGCTTAGATTGTCGTCGGATCTTGATGTGAAGACGTATACTGATAGCAATAATCTGCTTAATGTGATTTTAAATTTGTATTTGGTTTAGTGGTGCTCAGGGTAATCCTTTCCAATACTGATAGCCTTAGTAAATATCTGCAAGGAAAGAATGTTGATGTGATCACCACTAAGGAGACTGCCGACGGTACAATGGAAGCACTGACCAAGTGCCGGAATGAAGAATCTTTCCAGATGGTATGGTCCAGAGCTAAGATCCTGTCGCAAACGATAAAAAGGGAAATTAATGGAACCACGTTTTCCTTTAAAGATGCCACAGCACCAAGATGCCGACAGCCATCGTGTCGGTTACAAGCTCTTGTTGGTGAACAATTCATCAGTGGTGGTTTTACTGGCTTATCATCACAACCAAGCGCCGAAAGCCATTACCGCGTCACAACGTATTACCCAACACTCGACAAAGTTCTCCTGGAGATGAAATCACGATTTCAGAGTGATGATCAAGACGTCCTATGCGCCCTGGCTGAAGTTGTTTCCAAGACTAATACTCCAACCGAGAGTCTGGCGTTGGTTTCTTCTTTCTACGGTTTAGACATGGATATACTTACAGCTGAAAAAGAAATCTTCCAGAATTTTTTGAAGAAGAACCCAGCAGAGATAAGACATGCATCTTCCGTCGTGAAATTCATGTTTCAAAATGGGCTTCATGAAGTTTTACCAGTTTTCTATAAAGTGTGTTCAATTTTGACGACAATTCCAGCCAGGTCATGCTCAGCCGAGAGATCGTTCAGCAACTTACGCCGCATATGCTCTTTATGTTGAGTTTCGAGCTTCGTTTTTAGCCATGGCAAATCCTTACATCTAAAATGAAGCAGCTCAAGGAAATTCCCTCTGTTAACATCAGAGACCTCCCAAATACGTTTTCTATCTTCCTCATGTCCTCTTATAGCAACATTTTGCTGAGCATTATACATCAGACACTCGATTATTACTTGGAGGTATTGTCGGTTGCTGAAAACATATTGCTTATGAGCATTGTCCATTTGCTTTAGAACGGATGTGTTCATCATGTGGTTGGCCTTAGCCAATGCCCACTTGGTCATTGACGTAATATGCTTCTGAGATTTTCCATGCTTAGATAGCTTCTCTGGCTTCTTCCAATTGTTAAACACAAACGAGTCGTCCTTTTCAAACTCTCTGCAAGGAAAACATACACACTTGTCTTCTTTAGTCTCATAGCTTATCCATGAATATTTCTTGTACCATTCCGTGTTGAATTTTCGTGTGAAAGTTTCATTTCCAAACTTTCTCGTTGGATATTTTGATTGAATTGGATGATTTGGCGCTCCGAAAGTAGCTGTGGACGTATCTATGGAGGTAGCTATGGAGGTAGCTGTGGACGTAGCTATGAAGGTAGCTGTGGACGTAGCTATGGAGGTAGCTGTGGACGTAGCTATGGAGGTAGCTGTGGACGTATCTATGGAGGTAGCTGTGGACGTAGCTATGGAGGTAGCTGTGGACGTAGCTGTGGAGGCAACTGTGAGAGTAGCTGTAGAGGTAGCTGCTGACGATGTATCAATGTTAGACACAAGTGGCCTTTCAGTAATGTCACTCTCAAACATAAAATATTCAATGTCAGGATTGGCGGAGACCATTGAGCAGGATTGCCATTCCGTTGCTGTTGCTAATACATCCTGTTCTCCTGCTTGATCCTGGTCTATACTTACACTGCTTGTATTGGATTTGGCTCTACACTCTGTGACTGGCTTGTGAATTACACTTTGGCGGGATGAAAAGTGACTCTCGATAGACTTCCCTGGTAAGGCGGTACAGTCTTTGGAAAAACTTTTACTGTCTTCTTCCTCAACAGTATCCTCGCTGACATCACTTCCCCGCTTCTGGTCATCGTTGCTAAAGATTGTCCCGTATTAGCTGATGTGCCTGTTCTTGTGAAAAAACTTGATAACTGAATTTGCGAAGGTTCTACCACTGGACTGTACTTGATTTTCTTGCCGTTGTGTGCATTTTTCGTATGAATATCTCGGTAGTCTGTGTTCATTTCGCTCTGGCACTCATTGCATTTTATCCAATACTGACGATAACGCCGTTTACGAGTACAAGGTGTAGATGACATATTAAATTAAGACAGTTACATAACTAGACGTTTAATTCGTTAAAGCGGTGACTGAAACTTGTTAAAATCTGAGGATCCTGGAATGTAAAGCATGGAAAATGGTAGCTATTCTACTTCTAATCCATAGTGCCCATAGTGCATAAAGTTAGTAAAGTTTAGATTAACGACGACGTACCGGGTCGGTCAATCCGTAACCTTAAATAAAACAAAGACATACTCTGTGTCTTTAGATTTTCTATCCTGGCAAGGCTGGCATGTATGCTAACATAGTTAACATTATTGAGTGATTGAGTCATATCGAGCTAAAGTAGACATAAATATTACGGTGCAAATTCGGATATAATGAAAATTCGTGATCTTCACGGTTTATATAATTGTATTAGCCCAAGTCTAGGAATTCATAACGCACAAATGTACAATTACACATGTACACAACAATGCCACTCAATTTATATGTTTTAGCATGTATATAAATATAATCCTACTGTTCATATTCATATCTATAATCTATTTTACTATTTGCCTACGTTCGACTTACCTACCTATACGGTTGTGATTATGTTTTGCTGCTTTTGAATTCCAAACTGGATAATTTAATAATAATTCGCAAAACTCGATATTCAAAATAAATTTAAAATGTAAAATGCCAAGGACAATCGATGTACTAATTTGAATTTCGTCCGGCAATCGTCTTGTTTCACGTGCGTTTTTCCAGACAGGAAGTAAAATATGAGAAAGTGTATAAAATATCCCAGACATTTTCCTTCCGAGCAGGAAAAACGCAAACAAAACACAAAGAACTAACAAATAGCAATATTGTCAATATTCAGAAGAATGCTCCTGTTTTATTTTTATAATACACCTTTAAGTTTAATCACACAAACGTACGACAACCATTTACCCGACTGTAAAACCAATATTGCCCAACTGCCCATCTTTGCCCAACAAAAAGGGGGGGCTACCGCCCCAACCCCTGCCCCCCCGCCTGGTACGCCCATGATTTTTTGTAGGACACTTTGGGCGCAGGAAAGTAAAATTGAAGCATGCTCAGAATGTGTGATTTTGTTGAAGGGATCAGAAATCTACGATGGCCCACAAGGGCCGTCTGTAAACATTTAAAACTAGCTGCAATACTTTTAAAATAACTGCAAACATTTAAAAAGCGACTGCAAGTATATAAAAGAGACAGCAAACATTTAAAAAGCGAATGCAAGTATACAAATAAGAGGCAGCAAACATTTAAAAAGCGGCTGCAAGTATATAAAAGAGAGGCAGCAAACATTTAAAAAGCGGCTGCAAGTATATAAAAGAGAGGCAGCAAACATTTAAAAAGCGGCTGCAAACATAAAAACGCATGCATCATATCTAAAAATAACACTGACAAATTGCACGTGCGTCGCGGGAACAACAACAAACAGTAACAAATCAAAAATGTTTTGTAGTCAATGCGGTTCTGCTTTGTCGGTTTTAAACGCGAAATTTTGCCACGTATGTGGACAAAACATTACTTTGGATAACACAAGAGACTTAGTGGAGAAAGTGGTTAAAGAGAATCAAAAAGCGTCAAAAGGTTTTAGCGAAAGTTCTTCGATAAACACTACTCATACTGGTTCTGAAACTGGGCAGTCGCGAACACCAGTTTCGTTTAAAGAATACAGGGAGCGAAAGGAAAAGGAAAGGGCTTCGCGATTCCATCCTAAGGCAAAGAAAGTAAAAAAAGAAACTGTGGACAAGGAAAAAACAACTACTGAAGTCAAAATAAATATTGGTTTAAGAAAACTCCGTGAGGATGATTTGAAATTTGTCAGAGGAAGTACGTTACCACTAACTGTAAAACCGACAATTGGGGCAGAAGAACTGCTGAACAAGGCTTCCAAGAAACTTACAAAATTCAACAAAGATTTATCTACTGGGAGGCTCGGTTTTACCCTTTTATATCCTGATCGCACAAAGGTACACCACCTTCCTGGCAGTGAAGAGCTATTCACATTGGACAAATATAAACAGGAAATTGGAAAGCAGTATAGTCGTCTAACTTTTCATATTTGTAAAACTGACGATTATATGAAATTTTTGTGTCAACCTTCCTACTGGAGTGATGATTCAGATCCAGGAAATACAATAGACAAGGTAATCTACTCGACTAAGTGTTTTAGTATAAATTTCGAGAAGTTTACAAATTAATACGGACAGTGGGGTACGGGAGACGATAATTGGATTTGAAAAGAAATTAATTTTGCACAACATGAATTGTGAAGATATGAATATGTGGCTATAACAGTATAACTACATGGGTGACTGATCTATATCACGCGTCCTTTATTTTCAATTGTCTTTACAGTCTGTTAACATGAATATATGAATATGCGCCCCCCCCCCCAATTATCGTTGCTGGCTACGCCTCTAAACTCAGTTTTGTCGCAACATATATCCCATATCAGATTGGCGGCGCTTGGTTGTGCCTCAGTTGCATATTTAGGTTTATTCAAAATAAATTAATCATAGCAGCAAACACTTGGAAATTAATTAGCATTTCAAAGCCCTTAAAACAGTTCTGAAATATTCTTTAGAAGAACCGATGTCATTCAGGTACTTATATTGTTCAGTTATTTTGACTATAACAATGGTATCACCACTGTTGTGCCTTAAATTGTACCTTTTCATCCGTTTGCACCTTTCTTTTGCACATTCTTTCAAACCTTTAAGCCTTTTAATTTCCATCTGTTGTTTTTTGTACCTTCTAAATTTATTACATAGCATTTGCCATAAATTATATAGATCTTTGCACATGGCATCTGCATGTAGTGAGCATGCATCTGCAGAACGGAAAATACCTAACATAATCTTTGGAAAACCCTTAAAAAATTCAATAATGTTAATTACCATTGAAATATCATTGTTTAATTTACGGTTTTAGGAATTAGAGTATGCGGAGTCAAGCATAAATATGAGCAGGATTATTGGAGATTCAACTGCAAGCAGGAATATTGAAGAGTCAAGCACTAGCAAGAATACTGAAGGGGCAAGTACAAGCAAAAGTATTGAAGAGTTGAGCATGGGCAAGGATACTCAAGAGTCAAGCAGGAATAGAAGAGAAGAGTCGGGTATGAGCAGAAATATTGAAGATACAATTACAATCTGCAATGATATTGAAATGCCAAGTATTAACCAAGATGGTGGAGAGTTGAGAACAAGCAATAGTGTTGGAAGGTCAAACATGAGCAGTACTGTAACTACTGTTGGGGAATCAAATGCAGCTCTGGAGGAAACTAATACAATAATCCAACAGTTGATTGAATTTCAAGGATCTGAAGATGCTGAAAGTGCTTGTAAGTTTAAGATTTTTGTATTTAATAAGATCCTCAGTTAGCTTAAGCTAGTTTACACGAGGTCTAATACTTAAGATATACTTAATTTATCTATACTTTGTAAATAAATGAATGAATTAACATATTTTATGCATGCTTTTTAATATTAGGCCTAAAAGTAGTTCGATCTGTTAATTTATTAATGAAATTAGTGCCCATGGTGTTAATGGAAGCTGATGATATTGAAAATCAAAGGGAGTCACAAGAAATTGAGTCACAAGCAATTGAAGAAATTTTTGGTATTTTTAATAGTTTATTAATTAAACTCTTTACATGTATTTGACATATATGAAAACTTCTAATTTTACTTTTAGTTTTAACTAGCTATTTTGACAATCTCAAAGTTCATTTCAATATTATCATTATCATCATTATCATAATTATCTTCATAATTATCATCACTATCATTATCTTCATTATCATCATTATCATCATTATCATCATTATCATCATTATCATCATTATCAATAATCATTCTTTATAAGATGAAAACTTAAAATATGAAATTTTAATCTGAAGGGTTTGCATTTTAGGAATTTAATCTTTGAACTACAATTTTTCTCATAGGTATTTGTGATTTCAACTGTTCATCTGAAGTTCATGATTTAACTGTCTTTAATGTTGTGTGGCGACGGTCTTTCCTTAAAGATGACATGATTAAGTCGTTCAAAGATATGAGCATTTTGAAAAAGAATATATATGTCACTTTAATTGGATACAATGGCAAAGAGGAAGAAGGAAAAGGGGATGGTGTCTTCAGAGACACTCTTACTTCCTTTTGGAACCAGTTTTTCAACTCACTGGCCGTTGGTAGTGAAGAGAAGATACCCGCAATAAGACACGATTACCAAAAAAGTGAATGGGAGGCAATTTCGCGTATTCTATTGTATGGGTATGTAAAAGAAGGATATTTTCCTTTGTCTCTTTCAGTAGGATTTCTTTCAGTATGTTTATTTGGAGAGGATGCTGTCACAACTGAATTTTTGCTCGCATCGTTTCGCCATTGCCTCTCCGAATACGAAAAAGAAATTTTTGACAAATGTTTGAGTGAAGATGTCGTACCAGGTGAAGATGTTTTAGAGTTTTTGGGCAATTATAAATGTTTTCGTAAGCCGTCGAAGGAAAATATTAAACAAATTGTGTCTGAACTTGCACATCAGGAACTAGTGCAGAAACCTCGATATGTTTTAAATTGTTGGTCACCAATTCTCGCATCTTTAAGATCGTTGCAAGATTTTCAGTCTATAAAGGACGTAAAAGAAATGTACGAATCCAAGAAACCAACTAGTAGAAAAATAATCAAACTGATTGTTTCAACGCCCTCAAATGAACCGGAAAGGCAGTGCTTAGATCATCTGAAGAAATATATAAGATCGTTGCAAGGAAACACGTTACAATTGTTCTTACAATTTGTTACTGGCAGTGATGTGATAAGTTTTCAGCAAATAGAGGTATCATATACTAGCCTGGATGGTAAACAACGAAGACCGGTGGCGCATACATGTGGGCCGTTGCTGGAGATTCCCTCAACATACCAAAACTATAATGAACTAACTGAAGAGTTCAGCGAGATCCTTTCAAACAAAGATGCGTGGCATTTCAATATAGTTTGACTGGATTATTTTTTCTACAGTGCATGTATACAAGATATAGCAACTGGATTGTGCACAAGATCATGTCTTTCAGATGTAAATCAGCCATTTTGTGTCAAATTATCTCACGCGTTTTAAACTTAAACCTACATACGTCTATATGATATAATATGATTTGGAATCTTATTTTTGCACTGCATGGTCGGACATGAAGAAAACCGGAAAACTATTATTGCTATTAAGTTGGTTGTTAGTTATTGTTATTATTAAGTTGCTTTGGCATGCATGTATATAGGATCGATAAAGAAGCTACATGCAACATCTATAAATATTGAACATATTGCTGCAATTGGCCAATTTACATTAGAAAGGCTAGTTTAAATACATTGGTGTAACTAGACCTATATATAATTGGGGTATTCATGTTTTGCGTGATGGATTTTTGTTGTACGTTATTGTGCTTACAAAAGAAATCCGTCAGACAGAACTGGATTTATGAATAAACTTTAACCCCCCCCCCCCCCCCCAATTATCGTTTCAGTTACACCTCTGGCAGTATACATGTTTTGTATATCGTTAGGTTCTTGTTGTGTTATTTTTTTAATCGTTTTAGTTGACCCTTTTTCGGGCCATTTAATTCAAATTACGACTTCTATTGACGAAAAAGGTTGTTTTACCCGTTGGTAAGCTTTTATACCTTATATACAGTCACTGAGTTAGGGTTCAGTTACACCATTTATATAACGGTTGCGGAACTGAAATCGCCTTTGTATCTATTTGTCTGTAACATGAACTGGTGTAGAAAGCTATAGATTTAACTAACTTCAGTTTTATATTCTAGTCTCTTTGTAAATGGACTAGTCTTTCATATAATTCCAAACTTTCTCGTTCATTATTTGGATATGACAAATCTTCTGTTTCCATAACATATATGAAATATTCGTGATAAATACTTTCGTCTGGATCATCCACATGACAATGTTGTTCCATTTCATCAATTTTTTCCTGCGATACTTCAACCAAACATTCATTGTGGCCGTGATACTCAGGAAGAAAATACATGATGTCTGGAACGCCATGAACATTGTTGTGTTGACTTTTAGTAACTTGATGAGTGTTCCATTGTTCTTTCACTTTATCCAAGTCATTTTGCAATACTTTCGAGAAACAAAACCATAAACACTCAATATGAAATCCATTTTCCAAATCTAGTAAATCATAATCGATCATGTCTTTAAAAAGGTTTATCCACCAGCTTGATCGGTGTTTTCGTAAGAACGACCACCACGCTTCTATGCGCTGGTTAGAGGGAGAGGAACAATATCTGTGGGATCTTTCACCTGCTAGCTCGTCGTTATCACGTGAACGGAAAAAACACTGCATTGAAGCGGCAATACCGTTTTCTGTCCCACAATCTGTTACAAGCTGCAATGGACATCCTTCTACCTCTTTTACCTGATTTAGATAGTAAGTTGCTGCCACTCTTGGATCATTATTTGAACGGGATACTTCTAACCATAAAATTTTGCGACTAAACCCATCAATTCCACCATGTATGGGGAAGCCGTATGGCTTCAATTTGTCATAACCTATAAGGTACGTATAATGCACATGGTGATTACAGTTTTCAAGAGGACATATATTGACAAAACGTTTCCTTGAAGATCTACAATTTTTATATTGAGTATATAAGCATGAAGAGTTGATAAAAACGAAAAATTCAAGGGTAGTGATAGTGATAGTGGTGGTGGCGACAGCTGCTCCCCAAAAACATTTCAATTTAGGAAATGTTGGTAATCTTGCTGAAATCACTGTGGTAAGTCGGGCAATTTGAAATTTGTACTCGGCAATTTTAACCGAAATCATTCGCCTGCACATCTTTTTTTGACCCGTGCACCTGGATTGTGTATTAGATGTGTACATTTTAATTTAGTAAACACATGCGCATACATTGGCATTTGCCATGCTAATAGTAATAGTGATGTCGTGTACATACCATCCATATGCCAACTTGCATTAGATCCTGCAGAGGTGAAAGTTCGTCTCCTTAATTTCCGGGCTCTTCGTTCTTCCACACCTACCGGATCAATTTCTTTCATCAAGTCAGCTACCTCCCTTCGAGGTACATGAATTTTATGCCGTAGGCGTAGAGCATGCCAAATGCTCCTGTATCCGGACAGCCCGCCTGCTCCCTCCATTTCCTTAAGCACTGCTGCTCTTACTTCATTTCTACCAATCCTAACGGCATTACCTCGTCTTTTTAATCCAAGAGTACTTAAACGTCTCTTTAGAGTTCTCAAAGAAACATTAAAACCATTCCTTTTTAAAAGTTTGACAATCGCTTCATAGGGGTACCCACGATGAAAGTAGCATGTTATTAGTTGTTCACAAGTCTGCTCCATCGAACATTCATCACAGAAATCATTGACTACACCTTCAACTCCACAATTGATACAAAACATCGTAATTGAGAATGATAGCTAAGAGAGCTAGTCACTGAATCGTCCTTAGATACTCAACAGTGCAATTTAAAATGTCATCCCGTTTTAAATGTTTGCTGCCTCTCTTTTATATACTTGCAGCCGCTTTTTAAATGTTTGCTGCCTCTCTTTTGCATACTTGCAGCCGCTTTTTAAATGTTTGCTGCCTCTCTTTTATATACTTGCATTCGCTTTTTAAATGTTTGCTGCTTTTATTTGTATACTTGCATTAGCTTTTTAAATGTTTGCTGTCTCTTTTATATACTTGCAGTCGCTTTTTAAATGTTTGCAGTTATTTTAAAAGTATTGCAGCTAGTTTTAAATGTTTACAGACGGCCCTTGTGGGCCATCGTAGAAATCATTTCCTTGAGTGTATCCACAAATAGCCTTTCACTATCTTCGTAGAGGTTGGCTTTGGTCATGCATTTGCTTGCAGTTGGAATCTCTGTATAAATGAGAACAGAAAAAAAAGAGAAATCAGTATCTCTATGGCATGTGTGTCAAAGCATAGATCATCCAGATATATGGTGCATAAATATTGTAAACACAACCTTGTGTTAAAGTTGTACTTCTAATAATATTATATAAAAGAAAATATTATATAATAAAAGAAGCCTTTAATCTTACCTACTATTTGCCTTTAATATTAGCCTTTAGTACAACTTTATAACAGGCCCTAATTCCAGTTGCGTAGCCAGCCCGACAATTTAGTTCATGCTATGCCAATATTTTAGTGTTCATTGACAGTGAAAACAATGAATCTCTAAGGAAATGAATGACGGTAATAACATAAAATTTGCATAAATCCCCAGGCTGGCTACACCACTGAGTACACTACAAGTATACGTGTTTTAAACACTAGTGGAAACTTACCTTCCTTGTCAACCTCTTCTTCCTTACTTTCTCCTTCACTATCCGAGTTCTCTTCTAAAAAATCTACTTCAAAAATTCATGCAATCATAGACAATCCAGAAGACATCTGTCATGTCTGCCGCCATGTCGTCTGCATTGTATATGCTATGATGCAATTCATCATATTCTTATACTGTAGCCCTTTACCCTACTGGTTTTGGATAATCTGAATTTGTCAGTAGAGCAAGTAGGATAATTAGAGACCATAATGGATAATAACGTGTCAATTTTAGGGTACTCTTGGGGATGCCCAAAAACCAGCACATGTTTATGTAATGGAACTGTCAATACTCAGCGCAACACATTTAATATTTATAAACGCCAAAAGATCTTTGTAGAAATTTGGTGCAATAAGCTGTACCATACCAGTCATGTGTAACCCCCAATAGTTTGATGGCTCAGTTTCTTCCTAGTCTTCTGGGTTGGATCAAGACCAGGGATGGAGTCAACAAACATGGATCACTTGTCCAGGTATCCCACAAAGTCTTCTTCTAGCCACTGCAAAGTTGAGTGGAATGTACACTGGCGGTCAAAAAGAACTGCTCAAAACAAGTTAAAATGCTGTCAAATGAACGTAAATGTCCCTTTAACAATATATACCAGTAAATATAGACTAGATTACATGCTAAACTATATGAAATATTAATATTTTGTTGACCCTCCTTTGGCTTTATAATTGATGACGGCCTTATACCGGCGTAGCATACTTTCTGTTAAGGTGGTAATCTTCACAGTCAAAAGAAATTCATTCCTATGGGCAGTCTTTACAGCAACGCATAAATCATGGACGCTTTATGAATGACTTCCTTTCTTGCACTATCCCCTTGACATTGTCCCACAGATTTTCAATAGGGTTAAGGTCTTTTGACTGTGCAGGCCAATCCATTTCTGTCATTCCCTCTTTCTGAAACCATTTTTGACCATTTTTGGAAGTGTGGCAGGTTGCATTACATTGTTGAAATATTGTTTGGAATAAGAGAATTATAAAAAATGCCTATGAAGCTCTCTTCTATATTCGCTTCTTTTTTATGGATTTTTATCTAAACAGTTCTTTTTGACCGCTAGTGTACAAATAAAAATTGATTGTTACGATTCCTGTTACATACGACAATAGCAAGATTTGAGCAGTTCTTTTTGACCGCCAGTGTATATGTATTATAATTACTGTGTAAAACTAGAGAATGTACTACCACAAATTATATACATACTTTCAATCAGGGATCATTTGTACTCCTGTATGGAGCCACATCTGGTTTTCGCCGTCGGGCAGCCTCAGTCAGTGATCGGCTGTTCAAACAATCAAAGAACTTGTCGAACATTAGAACAAAACGCGCAGTGCCCTTTACAGTTTCATTGTAAAAAGCATCGAGTGCATGTGCCACTGAAGAGCTAAGTACCTATAAAAAGCCACACCAAAAGTATTAAGTTCCTCAAGTATTTCCTTGATGCACATGCACTATTGCACCCCTTGTGTTACAGCTAGTACCTGAGCAGCTAAACACACTTTCATTCTCGAGTAGGATGTAAGATAAATGTGGTCATATTTAAGCTTTGATACCAATTTTAAACCACAACGCTTTAGGTCATCTTTATAAAGATTAACTATATGGATCCAGGAAATGCAGTATCCATCATTCTAAAAACAGATTTAAATTGAGGTTATTTTTATTGAATGAATGTCTTCAATCAGTTTTCAAATTTGAATCTTAAATTAATTAAATACAGTTCCTTTTTTATCTTTAAAATCATTATCATACCCATAGCTCTTGTGACTTCTTGTTCCACCCACTATTCTCCCAATTGTTTCTCACTGTCTTCATCAGATGTGGTACATCAGAAAAGAAGTATAGATCTCTTTCATCAGGGCTATAGATGTTCTTCGTTTTGTGGATAGCTATGCCTTTTTTTGGTGCATGCATCTTAATGAACTTTCTGTTTGAAGAAGCTCCATCACATGTGCTGGCTGCAACTTTGAATCCAACTGTTTCCGAATGCCTTATGGCGTCCCAGACAAGAGGGGGAAAAAATCTGCTGTGATACAACTGTTACAAGGAAAATGGGCTACTGGATACTCTAGTGTAGTTGTCACTCCATGAACCATGAACACAAGCATGTAGGATGCAATATCAGGCTCTGTGCTCATCTCATCTTGGCACTGCTTCTCAAACTCCACTAACAAGTTGTTAATTTCACCCAAATTTGCAAAACCAATTAGCTCACCAGTATTCTTGCAGTAAACCAGATAATTCTTTATCTTAACTTCATCATGGAGTAAAACAGTATACTTTTGCCAATCTTAGAGCTCTTCAACAAGCAGTTGCTCAAAGGTTGAGGGTTGAAAACCAGAGGACATCTTTGTCCAGTGCTTGTAGTCTCTTAGTGTTCTTTCACTTGGAAGTTTCAGGAACCCCAAATTCCGCATTGCCTTGTATGCAGCAGTTGATCTTAACTTGATATTCAAACACCACTTGATCATGAGTGGGTGCCGTCTCATTTGCCTTGCATCATAACAAGACAAAGCCTTCATTTGCTGTTGCCAAAATAACTTGCGAAAAGATCCTTCAGGAAGTTCTTCCTTCAAGTGGTCACCATTCTTCAATATTTCAAATAAATAATAATTTATTCCCTTATCTAGCATCTGCCCTTCTTTGTTGATTGTGTTCTATCTTTGATTGCGGGCTATAGGCGAATGACAGGTCTTTTACTCAGTCGAGGAATACGACTCCAGCAATCAAGAATACGATCAGCAATGCAGCGAGTCAATCCTGAAGGTTGTCTTTTAAGGTCACTAGAGTTAAACATTTTGCACCATCGTCGATACCAGGTGGTGAATGTATATTTAGAAATCATTGTTATGTACTTGCCTACTAGGTGAGTGACATGCATTTTCAGTATGCTTCTTTGTCAATACTAATAAATATACACTGTCTTCTATTATAAAAGAAGTAAAGTGTACATAGCGCTAGGCACAATAAAATGGCATGCCTTTAGGAGTTATTACAGTATTAGGATCCAAATTAGAGGAAGTCATATTACAGGCCGTAGCGTGCACAACCAGAGAATAGAACGACTGTGGCGAGATCTGTTCTTAGGTTGTACATATGTTTTCTATTATCTATTTTAAAATATGGAAAATTTTGGCATCTTAGACCCTACCAATGAACTTCATCTGTTTGCACTTCATTATGTATATTTGCCAAGGATACAAAGAAACCTTGACCTGTTTGCTGCTGGTCATAATAACAGGCTACTTAGCACTGAACACAACTCTTCACCCGAGCAGTTGTTTATTGAAGGAACATTAGCAGTGGCCAACACTGATCTAAGAACATCCATTGAATTCGCTAACCAGGTGATGTAATTATGCTGTAAATAGATTTTTTAGGTATGAGGGTCAGGCAAAAGGTGGTAACTGACATTTTATTTGAAGAATAGTAAAGGAATGCCTGTGCCCTGCAGTATGAAAATGTTTTGAAATGAATCTTATAAAATTAATAACTATATTCACTGAGTATTTAAATTGTCACCCCATATATTGTTAAATATGTTTGTTAACTCCTAAATATACGTATATATGACACTTTATGTACAGTTCAAAAAATTCAGCTACTTAGTCACTACATGTACTGTAAATCATCAGACATGTCTCTGTTATTCATGTAGTATTGTGTATTCTTTGTATCATCAGAGCGAAAGTAATGCATATGGCATTGATCCAGATGGTCCTGCTCCTTCAGAAGAGTGGGATGGTGAAATTAATGAAGATGTACCATTCGTTGAAGTACCTCCAACAGCCTTCTCACTGGAAAATGAAGTTCTGTCCTTACTATCTACTGCCATTGACCCATTGCGTGAATCTGATGTACATGGTGTTGACATATACCTAGAAACACTCAGGTTTATTCAGTACCTATAGGTATGTATGAATGTTCCTGTATCTTACAGAATTTAAGCAATTATACAATGGTCAGTAACAATAAGCTAGAAGAAGGATCACAATTATCTGACAGAGGATTTAACAGTTTGGTTATCCCATAAACAATCTAATATAATTTTATACTTCATAGCAACCAAGAAGATCAGTTTGGAACAACAAGAACACAACATATCAATTTTTATTGTTCTTCTAATGAACTGCAATAACAATATAACATCCATAGAAAACATTGAGCCTTGTAGTGCTTAACATTATCATTGATACTTTAACTAACTTTAACTTTACTTGATTTAACTAAGCGGTAAGCATAGTTTGGAAAATGCCTTACAGAACTGTATCAGTATGGACAGCTTAATTACAATTTTTGTAAGTGTATGCATTGGCAACTTACCGCTTAATTAAATCAAGTAAAGTTAAAGTTAGTTAAAGTATCAATGATAATTACCAAAATGGGACTCAAGTGGATCTTGATTGAATCTCTC